TCTCTGATCGTGTTGCTGAGAGATTCAGTCTCCAGGGGATGGATGACAAGTTAGGTGATGCGGGCCTGTGAGGGGAAGATCTTTGATGAGATTGGTTGACTCCTTAACCACAATAATGACCTCAACATGCTGGACTTGGCAGCATTTTCTTCTGCTATCTATAAGGTCATCAGGAATTGAAGTTAGCTCGATGGAAGCTACATGTTTATGTCTATTCTGTCAGAGTAGGGACATGCATTTTCAAGGTGTCCTCTCCCCTTTGATGAGGAGGTGTCAGCAGAGGAAGGCTCACTGGGAGTGGGGATCCTGGGCCCTTGGCTGCAACTCCCACCAGAGCCAGGAGTGAGCCAGCTGTGCACCTCACCTGGATGGGAAGGGATGTTTCCCCTCAAGTCTGCCACCTGAACCTTTGTGATTGCCGGAAAGCTCGGGCTGGAAAAACCACAAACACGTTTTCAACCAGGGCTGAGCATCTCGTGGAGTCAGGTTGTTGTGGGAGCCCCTGGAGCATCCTCGAAGCAGAGAAGGTGATTAGGGGTGCAGCCACTGTCAAGAGAAGGTTTCAGGCGCCATCTTGTCCTTTGTTGTTTCGCTCTATTTAGAAAGTCCTGTTTTAACTCCAAAACAGAAAATGTTTCCTCCAGAAATAAGCTGTTACAAAACATTCAAATATCAGAATTCGGGGAGCAAGAGAATGAAATATCCATTCAACAAGAAATAGTTTTTCCCAGTATTATGAAGAGATGCTGACAAAATCTGTCTCCGTGTGAGCGTTATACACAGTATCACCACCACCACAAATAGATAATGAAAACAACACAGATTTCAAAATGATTCTAGGTCATGGTGCTCCTCAATCAGGTTCCCGGGCCAAAAATCTTTATGAGTGAAGTCTTCCTATCTTTCTTGACCATCTACGTCCCCCAGCATAATATCTCATTCTAAGGACTGAACCCTCTTGACAGGACTAAAGAAGACTTGAAGCCTTTGAATTGTGTTGGTAGAGAGGACGGAACACAGTATGGATTGAAGAAAGAATAAATAGATCTGTCTTAGAGGGAGCGCAACCAGCCTTGGAGGAAGTACAATCAGCTTTTTTTTTTTTAAATTTCAATGAACATCTACAGAGATTTTGGAATTCCATTCATTCATTGTTGCACTTTTCTCCCCGCAACCCCCCGTCCCTTTGGCTTGCTTCTTAAAGGCAAAGATGATTAAACTTTGTTTCATGTAATTGGGGCATTTGGTCAGGAGGGGCCAGCCTTTAAAATTAGTCATAGTCAGTCAATATTTCATCATGAGGATATAAGTGCTGGGGACATGGGAACACTGTGTGTTAAATAATATTTAATGAATGGGGATGTACAAGCCATGTGGCTAGTCATAAACTGTCTTTAGTTTATTTCACAAAATACTTTAATCCTCCAGAAGTTTTTCTAGAGTTGTCTCTTATTTCCTTTTACTTGGATCCACAATTAAAACCCATGCAAAGAGTAAAGAAATCAAAACAGCATAATGCATTGAACAAATCCGCTGTCAAAGATCCCTTTAAAGTACAAAAGGTCAAGGAGTTAAAGGCTAAAGTACAGTCGCTTTATATGAATGTGAAAGTTAGGAGCCATAATTTAAGCCTCTACAATAGAAAATAAGCATATACACAGAAAGAGGTCTTTTTAAGAACTATGAAGAAAATAAGGAGAAAAGTGACAGAAGCTAGTCTCAGTAAGAGGGTTAGAGGTGTTGTTGTTGTTAGGAGCCATCGAGTCAAGTATAACTCATAGAGAGCCTGTGAACAAGAGATCTGAATCCTGTCCTTTCCTATACAAACTTCATCATCCCTGACGCGCTGCCTGTTGCCACGGTCATCATGTCAATCAAGGTGGCCTTTGAGCAAACACCTACACGAAGTGAGTCTTTCAGGCAGAGGGAAGAGCACATGCAAAGACTTTAAAAATAAGTTGTATTTGCAGAGATTCAGCTGCTCCTCCTCTGTTGTGTTTCCTGGTTCGGTTCTAAGGCTCAGCCTCTGATGCCGTCCCTGTTTGTACAATCTGAGTGTGCACTTTTTTATGTAGGGTTTTCAAAGGCCTGCTATTTTTGGAAATAGATGGCCAATCTTTCTTCCTAGTCTGTCTCACTTTGAATACACAACTTTAGAGCAATATCCAGCAGACAAGCATTTTACCTAAAAGAGCCGAACAAAGTCCCCACTTGATTACACCGCTAACAGATTGGATGACATGGATTGACACAGTAACTGGGGTAATGGGGCTAGGTGTGTCAGAGTTAGTGAGACTGGCTCAGGATGGGGCAAGCTTCAGAGCTATTGGGAATAGGGTGGCCAGGAGTCACAGTAGAGGCGACAGCACAAAACAACAACATGAGGAGATGGTCCAGAGATGCCACCAGGGGCCAGATTTGTAAGTCTGGTTGGGCAAAGCTGTGATCATAGAATTTCCAATGGCTACTTTTCAGAAGAAATGAGGATGACAAAACTTGGATTCACTTACTTTGAATGTGTCACTGGGAAAGGCCAGTTGCCAGAAGAAAACATCATGATAGGTGAAGTGGAGAACAATGCGATGAGAATCTTCAGCGATAATGACTGATGTGTAAGCGTCAACATGGACTCATTTACACTGGCAGTTATGAAGATGGTGCAGGATTGGAGAACATCTTCTCTTCTAACAAAGAGTTGGCTCAGTGTCAACTAATAGCAACACGGGACAAGATAAGAATTGAGGTTCTATTGTGAGTAAAAAAGGAAACTATAGTGTTTTCAGAGAAATGAAAGTTATACAAGTGTTCAGGTCTTTCATTCATAGGGTCACTATGAGTCGTCTACGAGTTGATGGCACTTAACAACAACAAACAACAGTTTTAAGTTTCCAGTCTTTGGAAAATGGCATCATGCTGAAAGCAGTGGAAGGTCAGAGAAGAAAAAAAGATCCTCACCACTATGGATTGATATGGCAACTACAGCAATGGGCTCCAGCATGTCTCGGATTATGGGGATGGTGTATGATAGGGCAAGGGTTAGATCTGTTGTTCAGAGACTTGCTGTGAATCACAGAGAAAGCTCTGTTGGCCTAGTGGACAGAAAGTGATGCTATCAAGCCAAAGGTGGGTGATTTTAATCTGCAGCCTTCAGGCCTGGTTTTACTTGGTTTTGGTCAAACATTCTTCTAAGTGGTATAGCACTGGTCTGTCCATTTGTTGTACAGAGGTAACTCATGGTTGCTGTGATTCTAAACACTATGACACTGATGTGTCAAATGTGATAATGGTTCCCCATGGTGGACAGCGTTTGGTGGAGCTCCCAGCTTAAAACAAACTTGGAAGCAGGAGTGGCGTCCACTTTCAAAATAGCTTGCCTCTGGAAACTCTATAAACTTTGAGAAACTATGAAAGCTATAAAAGTGTTCAGGTCTTTTGTTCATAGGGTCGCTATGAGTCATCTACGACTCGATGGAATCTAACAACAACAACAATAGTGTTTTTGACAGAGGAGAAGAAGCATGATTTGTGCTTTGAAAGGATCACTGTAACTACTGTTTCAACACTAAGTAATAAGAGAAGGGGAAGATACCGAAAAGTTCCCTGTCATGTCATTCTGTATGTATGACATGATAGTGGCTTGGTTACTATTAAGGCTTTTTTGGTTGTAGCACTACACACTATTGACTAAACTATGAGAGCTCCTGTACTACTCACACTTTTAAAATAGGAAATAGTCTTCTCTCACCACACAGACTCAATTTACAACTTTTTCCAAAAACAACCTGCAGGTATGCACGGCACCGTTTGTTTGGTTTGGGTTTTTTTTCCTCTAGAACTAGTGACATTTTTATGAAAATTTTAGGGATAAGACATATTTCAATTTACTTTGGTTCTGCACAAAGTCATTACTAAACAACAGCAAATATAATATCTTCCTATGTATGTGTAGACCCAAGTCACATAAACACATACGCTCACTCACTCACACACAGAGGAGAGAGAGATTTTAAAGATTGCTGTCTCTTTCCTAGGTTATAAATATTTAGGGAGAGCTGCTGATATACCCTGCTTGGCAAAGTAGAGAGTCAGGAAAAGAGGAGATGAGATGAACGGGCACAAGGCAACAACGGTGGCAGTCATGTGAGCATGGCAAAGATTGTGTTGGTTTACAATCCAGCAAGACTTCAATCAGTTGTCTATAGGAGTCACAGTCAACTCAATGGCATCTTTACAAACAACAACAGCTAGGATATCCACTCCCTCTTTTTTTCATAAGAACCTCACACTTCAAACAGAATATTTAGAAACAGTAAGAGCTAGATGCTTTCACATCAAACTTTAATAATACTCTACTTCATATTACAGACTATATATCCTTGGTGCTTCATAAATCGTCTCATTTTACATTTACAAATTGACATCTGAAACCAGAAGTTTTAGAAGCGACACTTCTGTGCCCTAACATAACGGCATTACCTCCAGGCACAGAGGTCACACTTCCTGTCACGTGTGGCCTGACATCTGAAGACCAATCTTAGAGTATAAAACAGAACGTTCAGCAAGTAGAATGTCGCAATTGTCAACCAGGGTCATTTAAGAATAATGAAACTTAGATCACAAATAACCATGTTAATGTTCCTCAGCCTCCATTAGTAGTATGTCTACAGATTAAGATATAATTTTATCAAAACTATTACTTAAAATGTATCCATGTATGTCTATATATATATACATATACAATCCATTCAGCTGCGTGAAGTGGAATACATTTCCATAAGAAATCAGCAAATATGTCAGCCACTTAAAAATGTGAATTAATATTTTATAAAAATCCCCCCCACATGCTGGAATTCTGAAGGGTACAGAGTCACTGGCTAGGTGCTTCCAGGGCTTTCCTCACTGGTCAGTAAACACTCCCTGGCCAACGACTGATGGGGAAGGACAGGTCCTCAGGTGTCTGAGAGTGCCAGTAGTGGTCTTCATCACAGGGCCTCCAACACTCATACGTCTGGGAGGTTCTGTAGAATCTGCCTCAAGGAAGCACAGGCCACCATGTGTGAATCCGAAGGAAGGTTGGCGAGAGACTGAATCAGCTTCTTGACTATGGTCTTCAGACACTGGTGGGCAGCATTCAAGTCTCTGTCAAACTGCTGTCCCTCCATCTGTAGAGCCAGGTGACTGCAGATGTTTCTAAACTCAACGCTATCCTGAAACAAATGGCAAAGACAAACCAGACTTTAGGAAGAGGGGACATCTGCTGTTTTGCTGACTCAGCCTCAAGCCCCTTCTCTCCTGTTCTTTGTTGTCATCCACTGCTGTAGAACAGCCCCCTGACTCCTGGTGACCCCACGCAGAGCAACGCAAAATGCTGTCCGCCCTGCGTAAGCCCACGGTAGAGCGTTAGGATACACAGGGTTTCCAACCGCTCCGTAAACAAAGGTTTACACAGGTACAAATAACTGATGAAAACAGAAATTAAAACAACTAACTCTGGAAATCACCACATGCTCTACAGAAGAAGGATGAGCAATCTCCTCCCGTGTGATTAAATGCCTCTGAAAACCCATCGGAGGGTCAGCTACAGGTTGGTTCCAACTCCACAGTTCACAGCAACAACAACTCAGAATTTACAAAAACAAGCTGATGTTAAAATATTAACCAGCAGTAACAATTTTATTAAAGTGGTATTTTTGTTAACATACTTATTACTTAAAGAGACGGTAGCAAAACTGATAAAAGTTTAGACCTGCTAAGCATACATTTGGGATATGTAAGGATTACCAGTAAAGTAGTGAAATAATTGACAAAAATCAGTGAAGAATTGAGGGTATTAAGATCTTAATTGGCTCTCTCTACAGAAGGGAGAGATGAAAAAATAAAAACTGAAAGCAAGATAAAGAGAAAGAACCCAAATAGGTGATAGAAACAAATCTCGATATTGTCACAGGAAACAATAAGCAAAATGAGATAAACTCACCTTTTGATGGCTAGTGCTCATCAGAATAACGTGTTAAAAATCTAGCTATGTATTGTTTACAAGCAGCACTTTAAAATGATAAGCACATAAATACTGAAAATAAACAGAAGAAGAAAAGTCAAAATAAAGCTGTTTTAATCTTATTGGGGATACAATCAACTACAGTTAATGAAAACAACTCTTCTTCAAGAGGTGATAGCAGTTTTGTACTTGTGTATGCCCAATACCATCATCTCAAAGCACAATCAACCCACAGACGTCCAGGCTGATTTAGCTCCACTTTCTCCACACCTGGACCTCTGGTGACGTAATCCACGGAAAACCCAAGGACCACTCACCTCCAGCAGTTTGAATCCCCCAGCAGTAGCTCCTTGGGAGAAAGCTGGAAAGTTTCCTTTTCTTAACATTTATGATCTCAAAAACTCATGGGAAGTAGCTATGAGTTAATTCCAGTTCAACAGTAGTAAATTTAAATGCTTTGAATTTTCTCGGGAATTGGTAACATCATAGAGCAAAACAATCAGTATGGATAGAGAGGAGTGAATAACAGTGATCACAGGGGTGGTCTAACAGGGATAAGCACATATCATCTTCTCAAACTAAACTAAAACTTGGTACTTCCAAATAACAAAACACAGTGGATATTTAAAAGTCTGTATCACATTGCCCATGATGCAGGTAAATGGGAAAGCAATGTAAGAACACCTGCCCCAAACATGCAACTTTAAAATCTGTGCTTTAAACAATGCACAGGTGTGAAAACATAATGAAAATTTGACAATACCTTACATAAACATAGGGTCGCTATGAGTCGCAAGCAACTCAAGGGCACCTAACAACAACAACATAACTATTATGGAAATACTACAAAATGAACTCTGTGGTGGGTATAGTTAATAGCAAATGGATATATTTATATTTAACATAAATATATATGTACTATGAGAAAGACAATCAATCTCCTCTTGTGCAATTTATAGCCTCTGAAATCCATGGAGGGTCCGTTGAGTCAGATGCATTTAGACAGCAATGAGTTAGTGATATTAGAAAAGAATAATTACTGAAAATTCATAAGCTGAGAATTAACATCAATATATTAGAAAATGAAAAATGGACAATGCCAAAGAAAAATAAAGGAAAACCCAAGAGTTTTACTAAAGATTGGTGAGGGACTAGAGATTTCTTTCTACGTAGTCCTGAATATCAAAGTGAATATCAAGTTCACTGCCACCGAGTCAGTCTGACACACAGAAAGCCTCTACTGAGCTTCCAAGGCTGGCTATCTTTACAGGAACAGAATGACCACCTTTTTCCAATAGAGTAGCTTGTGGATTCAAACCACTGGCCTTTCAATTGTTGTTGTTGTTTTGTGCTGTTCAGTCAACTGTGACACATAGCAACCCTATGTACAACAGTCCTAAACCCTGCTCTATTCTGTGCCAATCTTATTGTCTCTGTCTACCCTCATTACTCTAGTCATTGTATCAATCTACCTCAGAGAGGGTCTTCCTCTCCTACACTGTCCCTCCACCCTCCCAAGCATGACATCCCTCTCCACGGATTGGTCCCTCCTTGCAACATGTCCAGAGTATATCAGATGAAGCTTCAGAATCCTTGCCTCCAAGGAGCAGCCTGGTTTGACCTTTCAATTAGAAGGACAAAATGCTGTACATTATAGCAGCAGAGATCTTTAGTTCTGGATGCTCTTGTCATGTGCCTTTGAGTAGGAACCAGCTCATAGCTGACCTTCCCACGGGTTTTCAGAGGCTGTAAATCACATGGGAGGAAATACTCTATCTTTTCTTGCAGAACAGCTGGTGGACCTGAACCGCAAGCCTATATGTTGGCAGCACAATTCCTTACCACTAGGCCACCAGAGCTCCCTTAGTTCTGAACAGGGAGGAACCAAGTTGCTCGTGAGTGACTATCACACCATGGCAACCCTAGGTGTGTCCGAGCAGAACCACGCTCCCCAGAGCTTTCGATGGCTGAGTTTTCTGAAGTGGATTAACAGACCTTTCCTCTGAGGCTCCTCTCGGTGAATACAAACCCCAAACTTTCAGTGAGCTGCTGTATTCATAAACCAGCAGTATTACCCAAGGATTCCAGGTCTGTCTAGAAGGCGAAGCTATTTTTCCTCAGAAAGAGCCTCTTTCACTCATGTGAGAAGGAGCTGGGCTTCTTATAAAAACATAAACTCTCCCCCAAACACACACACACACACACACACACACACACCCCAAATATGCATTCACTGCAATCCAACAAATAACAAGAGCAGGACCTCTGTGTGAGTTAGTTAATGGCACTGAGAAATGAACATGCCAAAGCCTCAGCTATTACCAGACTCCCATGCTTCCTGCTGTTTGGGTTGCATTTAGAGCAAGAGTTTCCTAATCTATCCTCGGAAGGTGTCAAGGGTTATTAGGATCATCTGCCCCATAGTTTATAGGATCATCTATATTGCTTAGAAATGGAAAAGTAGGGAGGAAATCACTTTGGACTAGTTCTCCAAGATCCATATAAAGGAAAATTGCTCACTTGTTTTATAGAGATCATCCAACTCCCAGGACCAAGTGGAAGATCAAAGACTGCATGCAAAAAGAAATTCAAAATAGAAAGGCTCTCTAATATCTGCGCTGCCATGCCCCTTTTTTGGTCAGGCTGCAAAAAGGCATCCGTCCCCCAACCAAGATGAAAAACACCTTTAAAAATACACCTGTGGACCTAAAATCTGAAACCAATTTCAAGTTTACTGCAAAGAATCAAAGAAGCCATCATTTGAGGAAATTATACATACAATAAAATTCAACCACAGGATTGTACTGGTCTCTGAGGCCCTGGGTATGGTTTAGGCTGCGGGTAAGTGTAGCAAAGTTGCTTAATTTTACTATTTTTAGTACTCTGTTTCTCTTTAATCCTCTCTCAAATATATTAGCAAAGAAAACAGAGTGATAGGAATCTGTTTTCATGGGCCTCTGGAGCCCGGGGAGGGGAAAACGAGACAGGTGACTGCCTTTCTTTTCTACACGGTCTAAAAGCCAGCTGTGGATGCAAGAGCCCCGACTTCCAGCCAAACCACAAGTCACAGTGTGGACGGGCAGCATGCTGCAGGGCTCGTGGGCTTTTGGTGGAAACTCCTGTGAGCAGTATCGCCAATGATGTCACTTAGGATGCTTTCCACTCCGTCACAGGGCACGTCCTCCCAGCACGTTTCCTTAGTGAGGCCCAGCTGCTGCCAGCGGTGATGTAATGTCCTGGAGTCGATGTAATGGCGCTTGGAGCACTCTGCCAGGGTGACAGCTCCAGGCTGCTTTGGCAGAGCAATCTGAAAAGCAGGTTTGGGAACATTTAAAGACTTCTGTAACCCGAGACTCTGCATATGAAGTGTATTGGTGCAGTGGTCCAAACTAACGGGCGCCTTTTACATCTTAAAGTGAGCTGGGATACACTTTTGAGATACACTCAACTGATGTAGTGGGCATGATAGTGCTGGCCTCTTTGGCTCTGTTATGGGTCAATCACATTCATTTCAAACATGTATCCAGTGCCCCCTTCTTAATTAACTCCACCTGATCAGAAGCAATAAGACATGGTATCTGATCTCTAAATAGCTTGGACTTATTGGGAGGAATGAAGTACACAGTACCTGCTTCCAAACAGCCAATGCAATGTGATGAGGGCTGTAGCAAAAGCACAAAGGCCCAGTGCGATGGGAGATGTTCGGAGACCCCTAGTCCAGGAACCACACAGGATCCACACAAAGCCCTTTCTGTTGCACAGATCCTTGCTAGACCTTACATTGATACAAGATTTTCCAAATTTGACTTGAATATGGTGGATAAAATCTAGAGAAACTGTGCTAAAAGCAAATCCATTAACATAAACACTTTTAATCATTAGACTTGGGCTTCTTCCTGGTTGCTGACTGAAGTCTCTCCTGTGAAGGGCAGAAAAAACTATGCAAAGATGTCCACAGTCTACTTTCCAGAGCAGATGACCTGCTTTCCCACCTGACAAAAAGCACATGGTGACATTAAGAACCCTGACATGATAACTGTTGGAGTTTATCACAATGGACCCAGCCCAATGCCAGGACACCCAGAGCATCTTCCCTGGCACAAGAGGGAGATGTGACATTAGAAGAATAATCAGAGGGAAGTAGCATTGCTGACCGTGAAGATAAATCAAAGAGCTGTGGATGGTCTCTAAGCAAAAACCCACCACCAC